GGAGGCCCTTACATGTGCTCTCATTGTCAATCTGAGTCATCAGTATACAACTCTTGTCTCCATCTTTTCCTGCCCCCTCTCCCCTCTCTTACACATATGCACACTCACGTGCACACAGTTTCTGTCTGTATTTAATGAGCCTGCTTTGATGTGCTCCAGCTTCCCACAAGGGGAAGCACAGACACAATCCAGAGCTCTCGCCCAGCCCCCGTCGGCTCCACGATTTAAATGCTGCTGTGTTTCCGCGACGGGCAGCGGACACATCACCTGAGTCCTCATCAGATCTGAAAGCACTCGTGAGTGAAGGCAGCGACAAACGCTCACATTTTGTCATCTAGTTTGGAGGAGTTCTTGGTGTTTGTCCAGAACACGGCTTGTGTTGGATTTGGGAGTTGCTGTCTGTTGCAGCTTCCCCTCCGTATGTTTCCATAGCTGGTCTCTGGTAAAGGACGGGGGTCATCTCACCCTCTCACTGTCCTAGATCAGTGTCTCTCCACCATATTGTCCCATTTCTTTCACTGTTTCCATGAAAGCCTGTCTCTCATTCAGAACTGTTCAGTTCACATTCATTGTAATTGTGCTGATTCTTGCAGACATTCTTCCTTGATTTTATCTTTTTGGTTCAATGTATTTCACACATCCTGTGTTTGTCTTGTTTTTCCCAGCAGATCAATCCTGCTTTCAATGCTTTTTAATGGTTAATACAATTTTCAATTGAAACACATAGATGAATAGATGGTGCCGATGACGAAGAAATAGCTGTTTACACAAATTAACCAATGTAAATAAACTTGACAGCATCAACAAAGTTGTTTTCCTTCCCCGGGTCCCTAAAGTGTGGACACTGAATTGCAGTCACAGTGAAGTTATTTAATACCACAACATAAACAATAACCTGAATCAGTGTAGTTCAAGGTCATCCAAGGTCAAAACAACCAACAAATTATCTCCTCAGAAACAAACTGTGCTAAACCGAGCATCTCCGTAGGAGATAACAGCAGCTCGCCCCTGCAACTTTCAACATGTGGATTATTTCTTTTCATTGGCTTAGAAGTTGTGATTCTAGGGTCATTCTCGTCTTTGAACCAACTTCAGGATGATGAAACGTCCAAAAACAGCCACTGAAAAACTGTCTTTGATTGTTTGTGAGTTGCTGTTTCCAAGGTCAATAGCTTTGGAAGCCACTTCTGTGTATGATTTGACTATGAATAGTCACGTCTGTGTTTCTGTCACCGAAGGTAGCAGAGCGGCCGACCCCAGCGCGGGCCTCCCGACCCTGCACCACTCTGACAGGCTGGATTAACAGCTTGTCATCACAGCGTACATCTGCATAGGTTGGATTATAATTGACTAATCAGATTAGCAGCTGTCAGCGACTGAAGGAAGAATATTTGCATTAAGCGAGATTGGATAGAGAGATCAGATAGACTCAGCACTGCCTGTGTTCAGATAAATGGGTTGGATGATGCTTAATGTTGTGGAGCTACTGTAATGGGTATGATAATGATAATGGCTTTTGAACAGGCCCTTCTGCCTGATCTGACAGTGGCCGGCTTTTACATGCATACGTTATTAGAGGCCTGATTTCCATGTGTGTTTAGACTTATATGGGTGTTTGTGTACGATTGATTAATGGACTGAATGAACTGTTAATGGTAAGCCATAAAGCTGCTGTTTTTCTTTCTTGTAGTTGTTGGTTCAGGGCTGTTTGGGCAATTTATGGTCTGCAGGCTTCATCTCGTGTTTTACATTTATTACTACACAAGCTGGCCGGACAAACGATAAACTGCTCATTCAGTAAATCACACATGTCACCATGTGTGTCAGTGTTCAGTGGCCGCGTCCACACCAGGCTCACTAACTGTGCAAACAATCAATATCACTAATCGAGTGCATGTAAGTGATAGCCGGCGCATCGATCTGCCCCTCGACGCCTGACAAGTTACTTAAAGACGTGCAGTATGACTCCACAGGGTCATTTGTTTCTTTGTTTTATTTGTATTAAATGTTATTAATGTCACAATGAATGAACACATTTAAATTTGAGAGCCAAAGTTAATGTTCTTAATTTATCAGATAGTAAAAATGCTGTTCAGTCATATTATTGTGTGTCTTTTCCTGCTTAAAAAAATAACAACAGAGTAGAGGTGATAATAGGCGACATGGTGTTAGAAAGCAGTGGAGAATGATCCACTTAGCTTTTAAAGACAGTCACCACAGTCGGGGCACATCTTGGATCATGAGTCCTAAAACTGAGATTACCTGCTTCACCACTCTACAGGGATTTTTTTCATTTTATTTATTTATTTTGCAATAAATGTCAACTACACGTCATGTTGTGAAGCTGCCTGTGGTCTGTGGGTCGGTCATCCTTTCTTTAAGATGCACCGCAGTCGGTCAGAGCGCTGTTGGCTGGAGCTTTATGTCTTTATGCTGACAAGTTGCAGCTGTAGTTGAGCACAGCTTGTTAAATGTCAAATAAAAAGCCCTTTTTATGGTTCGACTTTGCAGCCGCCAGAAAAAAAGGACACTCTACAAAATGTGAAAACGTGTTCTCTAAAAATGTATTTGTAGTTTTTCCAGTTGGTTTCATATTGTGAAAGCTGCTATGGAGACAGACGGTGACATATTCAGCCAACGCTGAGACATGAGGTCAGCTCACAAAGATGAGCTCGCTCTGACGTTTTGGTCATCATGTCCTGGTCCCTGTAAAGCACTTCTCTCATCAATAATCAGCCCTACAGCACACCCAGCAGGCTCTTCACCATGAGTTTGGCAGAAGTGTGTGTAGGTTCAGGTGAGCATGTGTGTTTCCATCCTTGTAGTGTCGTTGCATACTGTCATGAGAGAGAGCAGATTATTCCTATATGTGAACTAGTGTACTTGTCTGTATGTGTGCGCACTGGAGTGTATCAGTGAACCTCAGTGTGTGTGATGGGAAGACAAGGTCACGCCCAAACAGCTGTAGGAGCATCTCTGTCTAATTACCAAAATGTCCGCCCTCATGGCGCCCGAGCAGCGTTTAAAACCCAGGGAGAGAAAACAAAGGCTTCCTCTGTACTGGCGCTCTCTGTCACTGTCACCCCATCGTCCTCTACATTTTCCCTCATCTGTCACTTTTGCTTTCTCTCCCTCTTCCCATCCATTATTCCCCTCGGTCACCCCAGGCCAGTCTCTTTCATCCCTTCGTCTGACCCCTCCTCCACTATTTGTCTGGAAGAAGAGAGGAGGGGCAGAGGCTGCAGCGGTCCAGCAGGGCCCATATTAAATCAGAGCAGCAATAACGAGATTAAAAACCATCCATGTGGACATACATGCTTGTGTTTTAAAGAGAAAGCATCAAATGTGTGTGTTTTATTTGCACAACTAAAAATCTGATGAGCACAGTGGTGTGCAGCAGTTTGGTCACCAGCTGCATTCAGATGTTCTTGTATATGAGCTGCATGTGTCTGGTGTTTGCCTTTAATTAGAAGCAGAGGGATGCTGAATCTCCAGCAGCAGGATTTTTTTGGGCTCAAACCAAGTTACTGTGATTGTCTTTGAAGTCAGACTGTGAGGGCAGTGGCTGTAGCTCCCCCTGCCGCCTCCAACAGCAGGACAGCTCCATCGTATATGCACATCTGTGGTCAGTTTGAAATGTAATTTCTCAGCCTGTTTCTTGATGTCTTCTTAATGCTGCCAGCAGTTATCTGCAGGATGAATCAAAGAAAACTAACTGCTAAAGTCACAACTTTTCACCTTGAGAGGAAAAAAACTGCATCTGTCACACACCAGTGCTGCAACTAACGATCACTTACACGATCAGTTCATGTGCAGATCATTTGTTCGATTAATGGATGAATCATTTACCAGAAAATAGTGTCATCACAGTTCCTTAAAGCTCACAGTGATGTCGTTAAAGTGCTTGTTGTTTTCCACCAACAATACAAACCATAAGGAGATATGGTATGACAAAGGACAGCAGCAAATCATCACAATGAGAAGCTAGAACTGAGTAACATTTGGCATTTTTCCTTGAAAATTTACCTTAACAGTTAATCAGTTATCAAAATAGCTATTATTTTCAGCTGATTGACTCTGAGCTCTATACAGAATAAGTAATGTTGACAGTGCACTTTTTTAGAGGCTGCTATACAGGAAGTAAATGTCCTTTACCATTATGTACAGTACTACTAGAATAAAGCTCATGAACTTGGACATCAAACAAACTGAGGCTTTAGAAAGCTCATTTCAAATGTAAGTAAAAAGGCCCTGCAAAACCACATGAGTGCTTTTATGCTTCCTCGCCGGCGACAGCAGGGGACATTATGTTTTCAGGTTGTCCATCCATACAAACGTCCCTCCCTGCCGGCCCGTTCTTGTGAATGCAATATCAGGAATACCTTGAGGGAGCCACTCGGACTCGAGTATGAACCGATTTGATTTGGGTGGCCACTGGTTAGAGGTCACTGTGTCCTCATGTCTGTCTCTCCTGAACTTGACTGGTGAGCAAAAGCATACATCTGTGAGGGGTTAATTCTTTTTGGGTATTTTGGCTGGTGAGGCTTGTGCTCACGCTAAAGGTGGACAAAGGAAACCTGGGGCATCCACGAGATCACCCAACTCCCTGAACTACTGAAGGTGCGGTCAGATCAGAGTTCACTGGGACAGCTTTCCTTCTGTGGGGCGGCTACAAGCAGCTGGGACCAGTTTATTTATATAGCACATTTTCATACACACACACATTTTTTCCTCTCTCACATTTTCTTCTTTTTAGTTTTGTTTCTTCTGTATGGAGCTCTGCAGCTCACAGATTAAGATGTGACAATATCTGAATGTTTGATCACACACCGGCAGTTTGTGCCTCTTCATGCAGACACTGCTGTGACTGTCGTGTCAAACTTGTGTGTGCTGAAGGCGAAGAAAATGTTGTTTCCCCCCTTTTCCTGAAGGTGAGGACATCTGCAGGTCCTATAGGGGTTACCAGCCAGTAATGGCTCTGCTGCTGTGTGTTTGTTCAGGTAAACCAGCAGAATGTGGTGAAGGTGGGTCACAGACAGGTGGTCAACATGATCCGCCAGGGAGGCAACCGGCTCCTGATCAAGGTGGTGACCGTGAGTCGGAACCTGGACCCTGAGGACACAGCACGCAAAAAAGGTACAACACAGAAGGAAATCCTAAACAGAGGTCAAGGTTTCAGGTGTTGTTTCTGAAACTGGGGCAAAAGCGACAGGGTGTGATGTTCAGTGTTGTCCCACAGTAAAAATGTACAGTTCATGGCCTTTTGTTTTAATGTTTGTGCCGAGTCTCAGGTGTGAAGCAGCAGGACGTAGCTGTGCTCCATGTGCAGTAAAACGCTGTGAAAATCTGTGGATCTGCTTACATTTGCACCTCCTGAGTTAAAATGCCGAATAGTGCCGTAAAGTGGCATGCTGACTGATGATGTGTTATGTAATAATATTTCCCAGAGGCATAAGGAAACCTGACTTAGTCTGTGTTCACGGTGCAAACAAAAATAACACATCACCAGAAATTGATACGTTTCCCACAGAAGTGCTGGCTGTCAAAAGTCAGCGGTGGAGACATGGTTACAGCTTGTTAAGTATCAGATTATCAGTTCAAAACTTCCAAATGATATTGTCCAGCATGCTAAAAATGAAAGGGAACCTGTGTAAGCTATGCTGTGGCCACAGCCGACAGTTACAGGACAAAGATAAATGCCAAAACAGTGTAAGAGCAGCTGAAGAACCATCAGGTCAACAAGTGTGACATTTGCCTGCAGAGCTATGTGGCCAGACCAAGTACATCACTGAGAACTCTGTTTACTGCTTAGTGAACTTTGGTTTTTAAGACAAAAATTGTTATTACATTCTACAGCTTATCTTTTCTCCCACATCAGTTTTCTCTGCATTACTGACCACTGTCAATACAAACCTCTCATTCACTGTTAATGGAGAAATCTTTGAAACAACATAATGCCACTTTATGTCTGAGTAAAATCAAAGTGACATGTTTGCACTTCAGTCTTCAGACTGTCTGTCTGTGTGCCTCAGCTCCTCCACCACCAAAGAGAGCCCCCACCACGGCCCTGTCTATGCGCTCCAAGTCGATGACCTCTGAACTGGAGGAGCTCGGTAAGAACATAGTGTTTTGTCTTTTAATCATGGTGGCTTTAAGTCTGTGTCTAACAGCACATCTCTTGTCTGTCTTCCTCTTTCTTATTATTATTGGTTGGTTAATCTCTCAATAGTGGATAAAGGTAAGCAGTTAATGCCGCATCCATTTCACCCAACTCCGTCGGCTCACAGTGGCTGAATGAAGCTTTTCTTCAGACTAATGCAATTTAAGTTCTTGTCATTTAATCATTGTGTTTTAGTTTGACTGGTAAAAAGAAGAAAACAGCTTTTGCTCCCTCCTCATCACCTGTCCTCCTTTGCCATTATGCATGAAGGACTCATGCTCTTAAAGATCCCTGCACCCATGAGCTGTTGCTGTGGCTACAAGGAGCAAATGGAAACTATGACAGCAGTGTGATAATACCATCTTTGTGTTTGTTTATTTGTTGTTTTATATATATCTGTGTGTCGAGAGGACCTTTGTTCAGTCAGCATGAGCAGGGGGAGACACGGGAGGCCACGGCAGTGGTGGACAGGCCTGAGGGAGGGAGGGCAAGAAGTATGGAGGGAGCACGAGAAGCAGGAAGTATATGAGGAAAGACAGGAGAGAGGAGGCAGCACTGTCCCAGTGTTTCTGTGTTTCCCTAAGTAAGTGCTTTCACAGAGGTGGTGAAGCCACCTACAGTAGAACCTGATGGATCTGATGTCACAGGATCACTTCAGGTAGTAGGTGACAGCCCACGGTGGTCACTCTCATTAAACACAAATGGCTCCTTTGTTCTTCTTCCCTACTAATTAACGTTTGATTTAATCAGTATTGATTTTTGTGATGCTGAAGTTGTAAGCCTTAACATTTCAATCCTGGTTGATTTGGCAACACCTACAGTTGCCATGGTAACAGCCAGTACTAGAGCCATCCTTTAGCAGCTACATTGGCAGAAGTGAAACACAAAAGCAACAGCGCAGCCAAACAAACTCATGTTGTTTTAAATAAAGAAGTTGTCAACAATAATTGCAGCCGTGATCTGAATTCATCCTGCACCCGGCGCCAGTAGTTCTCCACGCAGCTGCAGGACAGTGACGTTAGAGGAGATCCGAGTGTGCAGCCTGTGGCCTACAGTGGCCACAGGCCTCAAATCTCACTGTGGCTGTGCCTGTGTGTCCATGACTGGCTCACAAACCATAAAAATAATCTGTTTCACAAAACTGAGTGTTGTTGCTAACGGTTTGCAGGTGGTGCTAACATAGACTATGCAAAGATGGATAGTGTGCCACCACTTCCTGCCATTTTGCAACCAGAGTTGGTGCAGTAGAGGTCAGAGGTTGAGCCGCTGTATCAGGCCGCCAGTCAAAGCCGTCACATCATTCCCTGTACACCCCTGTTTATATCGTCAATAACTTATTAAAATCTAACCTGCCAGAAAAACAACCACTTGAGTATATCTACCAAAATGGCAGAAATCTCCTCTGGGAAAAATTTACTTGATTTGTACTTTGTTTAATTTGGCTCATGTTCCATCTGCTAATTTGTGGTGGCTTCACTTCTGCGAGCTGTCCCATCAAATGTCTTTATGTAAAGTCTGTGGCTGCTTCACAGTAAAAGCTGCTCTTTGTGTAATGTTTTAAATGTGGAACAGTGGCAGCGGGATGTTCTGTTTGCATTAGCAGCAGCTTCATAAAGAGAGTGACCAGAAAACAGTGACACTGAGACAACAACTGGTTAAAGATGTCCCCTCTTGCTTGGGGATGTTTTAGGGTCTGGCCATTTTTTTGTTTTTTTACATTTCAAATGATTAATAAAAAAAGACCAGTCATGAAAATGTGTGGTTCTACAGGTTGTGGGAGCAGCTTTGTTTCACCTCAAAAACTTCTGGCTCAGCGGCCTGTGTCATGTGTCAGTGTGTGCACAGAGTAAATGGAAGAGGTGCCTGAACAGTAAAACCTGCTGGCAGAACGTTGCATTTGGTCAGCATATGGTCATAGAGCTGCTTGTTTAACACATTTGCAATTCATTCTTTGTCTACTATACATTCATAGTAGTAGTAGTGTTGGTAAGCGCTGCTGTGAAGTTTAAAGTGCTTTACATATTTAAAAAATGTACTGCAATGGGCTCACATACGAATCTGCTGCAGAAGGACGAATTTAAAAAGATGAAAAATACACTACTTTTATACTTTTCGAAGATATTAAAGCTATGAATCAAGTACATTTGTGGGAGAAGGGTTTGTGCTCTAAAGACTTAGAAACCTTTTTCTGTCACTCTCTAAGCCACTCTGAGGAAAAAGAAAGTTGGTAAGTTACTGTAGGCATGTTTAATACTGATCCACATTCTGATTGATTTATGCTGTTTGTGTATACCCCCCCCCCATCAGCACCTCACTGTTTGTTGATTTAATATTTTCTTTAAACATTCTAATTGTCCGACTCGCTCCTTTGACTTTCGGTTAAATCGGAGCGGCTCACAGTGTGACTGTGTGATTTACTGTGTGCTTTTGATTACAGCTGTTTTGTGTTCTAAATGTAGTTGGTGCATGGTTTAATTTATGTTGTAGTGGTGTTGAACAGAAAGATGTTTAAGCTCCTTTGTCCCTTGTTCACAGTCACAGATTATGTTTCTCCCTCCTGGCTCTGTTTATTACACTGCTTGGATGCTGAGTAGTCTCATGATTCATGTTTGATTAAAGGAGCAGTTCACCTGCTCCCTGCACCTTTCATGTAGGCAGAGTCACAATCAGTAATAGCAGTGAGCCCAGGTTATTTAGTTTTTGGGAAAATTTCAAGCTTCAAATGTAACAAACAAACAAATGTAGCGATAGACCCTTAATGAGGAATTAAACATCACGTGTGTCTGTGGGCAGCACGGTGGCACAGTGGTTAGCGCCGTTGCCTCACAGCGAGAAGGTTCTGGGTTCGGGTCCCACCTGGGACCTTTCTGTGTGGAGTTTGCATGTTCTCCCCGTGCTTGCGTGGGTTCTCTCCGGCTACTTCGGCTTCCTCCCACAGTCCAAAGCAAAACATGCAGCTTAGGTTGATTGATGTCTCTAAATTGCCCATAGGAGTGCGTGTGTGTGGTTGTTCATCTTTGTGTTAGCCCTGCAATGGATTGGCGACCTGTCCAGGGTGTACCCCGCCTTTGCCCGATTTGCTGGCCAGGATTGCCCTCTGTGTGTTTGTGTGAGCAGGGGGAGGTTTCCAGGAGATGCTTCACTCACAGATAGGTTTGCAGGCCGGGTGTGTTGCATGTCGTCCGCTGTAACTCCAGTCCATTAGGGAGACAGATCGAAGCAAGAGCAGTGTGCATCTTTGTTCTGTGTTGTTTATGTTTGTGTGTTTTAGTGCTAACTGTAGTTAAGGTCATTGATGCTCCTTTCCTCCTCTTCCCACCTCTCCCCTCCCCGCTGTGTGTAGATGTGCAGAAGAAGAGGATTGTTTTCCAAGTCACTCTAAGTAATCACTGCCCTAATGCATGGAAGATTTCCACACCCTAGACAGAGCTGATCAGTGAGGTGATACAGTCAGAGGCCAGATCAGGGCTAGCATGTAGCTGCCCTTAAGGTGGACTTTATCTGATGGCATCATTACACACCAGAGGAAAGCTCATTGCTGCCAAATGTGCTGTTGACACCTTCCTCGGGTTGCAGGATGAAAAGGAAAAAGACTGAGAAAGACAACGGCACATTTGGCAGACCTCACATTCACCTCTCATTTTACATGTAATGAGGGAATGTCCCTGAGAGCTGGATGATGCTATTGAGTCGGCTGTTTGGAAAGAGGTTGCATGGCTTCCGAGGCTGGACACACTTGACACATTTCATCAGTCCTCCTATCTACCCTGTCTGCAAAATGCGTTTCAATGTTTTCTGTTTCAGCTTCATCTGTAATTCAGCGTGGAAGCACAGGGAAGGGTCTCTGGGAATGAGTAGCTTGCATTTGGCCCATGAGAACTTTGCTAAGGCTTTGCAAGTCAAGTCCTGACTTCGTCGTTTGTGTGGCTGATGAATTGCGGCTCTCTTTGTGTTGCAGACAGAGTTGAAGAGATGACGCACGCCCAGAAGTCCTCGCCTGTTGATATGAAGATCGCCACAATCAAACCACGTCCATCTAGTCGCTGCTTGGTTACACCAACAGATATGAACGTAAGTGAAGCCGTTTGACACTGAACAATAATAATGCAAAGCTGGAATTTGTATTTATTTTGAAAATTTGTACACATATTGTGCAGTATTATGATGTTAGGGATAGAATGCACAGATATTGTGATCTTGTTTGGGTATTGAATACATTCATTTAAATGCGTTTAGTGTGTTTTTGGCTGTATTGTGTGATGCCTCCACAAAATATAATTCTTTGAATTTGTATCTGTTTTATAGAAAATAGTTTTACATATTATTTTTAAAGATAGAACAGTGAAACTGAATGCTGCTAGTGTTTGTTTCCACAGTCAGCAGAGAACTAATGTAAAGTGTGTGTTTCTGGGTATGTCATTAACCGTCTGGTTTTCAGTCCATGTATCATGACCGCCAGGGAGTAGCAGTGGTGCCACCCACTGTGCCTGGTGCCTTCCTGGGGATCCCTGAGAAGGGCACTATGAAAAAGCAAAAGTCAATAGGTATGATGTACATACAGGAAGCGTGTGTGAGTGGTGGACGAGTGAGTGTCAGCTCAAACTGCATGTCCAGTGCCTTGTGCTGTTGTCGTACTATTTTAACACTCAGAGAACTTGCTCTGTGTGCTCTAGCAATATTAAAGATAATTATAGATAAATGAGTGATTTAGTCAGCAAAGTGTGCTTTCAGGCCATAATATCAGAGGTCATTAAGCATATGCTGAAACCTCATTCTCACTGCTGAACGAGGCTCATCATGTTACTCACAGGTCCTTTGACTCGCACTGCTATCTGTATTATAAAAATGCAGTAATGCCAGTGATGCTGCTTTTAGTACGTTCTGCTTTAATGACCAACTGGAGAAGTGTGAGACATGGGAAACAGTCTTGTCTGAGATCTGAATAGTGTCAGTCATTGATGGACTGGGCACATGCACCGCTGTTTTTCACAGTAATAAACCGTTTGACTGTACAAATGACAAGAAGGATGTTACTGAACTAAACAGTCATCTTCTGCGAAACCTCCCTGGTCAGATGAATCCATAAACACCAGCTTCAAGCCACCTACTCATCTCAGGATACAAAGAAGACTGCTTTAAGCTAAATGCCTCTACATTTCTGCTTGCGGAAGCAGTTTTAATCTTTTAATTTAGGCCACTTTACCTGAGGAGTTTTAAAATACCCAGCTCCAGTGCTCCACAGCTGCAGTATTGAATGGATGTAAATTCGGCATTTGTACTTTAATACAAATCTCTATTCTTGTCTTGAGTTCAGTTGATGAAGTAGTTGATCAAATGAACTCACTAGAAAAGTATTGCAGCTGTAAAAGTTATAATTGGCATCTTTTCTCATTTATCTGGCCTCAAAGTTTTCAGGGATAAATAAAGGTGAAGACAGAGACATTTCCTCCAGCAAGATGAGGTTCCACTGGAAATAAAAATTAGGGATGTCTCCCCTGGGTCCTCTCATAATGTTTCTTTCTGCTTCATTTCTCCAAGGTACAACGGAGGATGAGAAACAGGGATTCCTCACACCTCCCCTGCTGAAGTTCTCCCGCAGCCTCTCAATGCCCGACACCTCAGAGGACATCCCTCCTCCCCCAGCCATTTCACCCCCTTCACCACCTGCCAACAACTCAGCTGCTGGGCCTGCACCCAAGAACTATGGCACCACACGACCCAGCTTCACCCAGAACTCTCCTAATGCAGTGACAACCATCAGCCGAACCGATGTTGGGACGTTAAGGCGCGGCTATTTCCGCCAGAGCTCAGAGCAGTTTGAGAGCACACACACTCGAGGGCGCACACCAGTTCCCGAGAACCCTTACTCCGAGGTGGGCAATAAGACACTGTATGTGCCAGCGAAACCAGCTCGAAGGAAGGGAATGCTGGTAAAGCAGTCAAATGTTGAGGACAGTCCTGAGAAAACATGTCACATGCCATCAAGCCCCTCAGGCCCGGTTTCTATGCCTACTACGCCTGTAGAGCGAACATGCTCCTCCATCCCCATCCCCACCATCATCGTCAAGGAGCCCTCCACCAGCAGCAGTGGAAAGAGCAGCCAGGGTAGCAGTATGGAGATCGAGCCCACCACCCCTGAACACCCACCTCTCACAGCCACTGTCGGTGGAAGTGGAGGTTTACGTCCAGAAGACCCCCTGTCTCTAAGCAACCCTTTTGCGGCAGCTATTGCTGGGGCAGTACGAGACCGGGAGAAGAGGCTAGAGGCGAAAAAGAACTCAATTGTCTTTCAGTCAATAGACATTGGGGATGATGATCTGAGTGGTCCCACACCAACCCCTCGCCTTCGCCAGTCAAAGTCCATTGATGAAGGCATGTTCAGTAGCGACGAGCGGCTTCAAAGGATATTGGCTCCCCCTCCTGCAGCACAGCTTGGGCCCCCTGTTGGGGGAGGGAGTGGCAACATGACAGATTTCAACACTCCAGAGCCCACAGTGGGGCGGGAGCCTCTAAACACCAGAACAGGTCAGTGTCCCAATCTGGACAGTCCTGTTAGTCTCCCAGCCACTCCTCCTAAGAGCCACTACAGAGCCAATGGGACCTACCTCCATCCAGTCACTGGCAAGCCCTTGGGCCCTAATTCTCCACTAGCTCTGGCGCTAGCAGCTCGTGACCGAGCCATGAAGGAACAACAGAACCATCCTCAGAATCAGCCACCAAATCCTCCTCAGGTTCAGCAATCCCCCAAGCATGAACCCCAGTCCCTTCCAGTCCAACCAAGCCACAAACCAGACCTCAACCAACCGCTGTTTATTGACACCAAACTACGGTCTGGGATTGAGACAAGTTTTGCTGCAATATCCACAGTGACCATGGGGCGGCCTGGCCGAGGTGGCCTGCGGAGGCAGATGACAGAGCAGAAGTATGAGTCTGATGGTGCACGGGAGGAACGGCAGCATCAGACAGTTGAGGAGAGGAAAAGTGCGCCACCCGATGTGACCGACACATCACAGTCGAAGTCAGCTGGGCTGTTGATGGTCCACACCAGCACAGACCCAAGCAACAAGCTGAACAGTCAAGACATGGAGGGGCAGGACAGCAATAGGCCTTCTGAGCTGAAGGATCCCAACCAACCCGAGCCACTTAACGCTCCAACACTCTCTGTCAATCCCCAGCCACCCTCATCACGGAGGAGGAGCGTTCCTTTAGGCGAATCCTTGGAAGAACCAGTAAAGCTGCCTTTTCGTATCCCCCCACCCCCTCTGGCCTCAGTTGATGTGGATGAGGAATTTGAGTTCTCCGAGCCCCTCCCCCCACCGCTGGAGTTTGCCAACAGCATTGATGTACCTGATGACCAGGCTAGCGCCATTGCAGAGATGCTTCAGCAGCAGAGACGGAATGGGGGACCTCTTCTGCCCCCATACCACCATCACGCCCCACCGCCTGTTACTGATCAGCACAAACGGGTGGCAAACAGCATGCCCCCTTCATATCCTCATCCTCCCCCTGACCCAGATTCAGGGGTGGGTGACTCGGGCATCGAAGAGGTAGACAGTCGCAGTAGCGGGGATCCTCAGCACATGGAGACCACCAGCACCGTTTCCAGCATCTCCACCCTGTCGTCAGAGGGAGGCTTCTGCGACAGCGCTCTGGAGAGCCTCTATGCCACTGCAGATGGGCACGCCTTCCTGGTGGATCGGCCCCCTGTCCCACCCAAACCCAAAGGCAAGTCTGTCATCAACAGAACATCTCTTTATCATGACACTCTCATTGAAGAGCCCCCTGAGTCCTATGGGTCACTGCCCCAGGCCCCTATCCCTCCCCCTTCACCCTCGGAACCTCCTAGGACTCCTACTCAAAGGACATCCAAGCTATGGGGTGATCAGCCCCCTGAGCTGCGCAGCCCCCCATCCACACCAGACAGCAAGAACACTGTTATCACTGAGCTCAGCTCTATTCTGCAGCAAATGAATCGACCGCCCAAGTCAGGAGAAAGCCTCGACTCCCCCACCGGGACCAGGGGGGCCTTCGGAGCAAGGTACGTGATGAGTTGGTCCTTATGGACTTGGTCCTCTTCTTTTTCTTGTTTATTTCCCAAAAACTTTTTTCTCTGTTATTTCTTGACATATGTGTCCAGACAGATAGTTTGGCTTTAAGCTCGCTGTTGATTATGCTTTAAATTTTAGTTTTGCGTACAGGTTTGCAGGTCAGTTTTGTCTGGTTGTTTGTCGATTATAGTTTCTCTACTTTCAGAATCTAACCAAAGATTGGAGGTCTACAGCATTAAAACTCAGCTGACTATTTTGTGTTGTGTGTGAAGGATACATGAGGCTGTAGGAGAGCAATTGTATAGTAACAATGAATCAGAGGCTGTTGTGGCTCACAATTTATGTACTGTGTATCTTTATACATTCTATAGGCACTCAGTTGTCAGTTTACTAGGAGCACGTGTCTCAAACCGATCCAGTCTGATCCAACAGTCCTGCAGTAAATTCTCCTTCATGAAGGTGATGATGTTTAGTCTGTGTTCAGTCAGTACAGCAAGATTCCTGCATGTTTTCAATTGTTCGGGACATGCAAGGGTTACGTTTGCAGTAACTGGGACATCGTTTTGATGGACCTTCCCCTGAACCAGTTCAGCTCATGGTTTTTTAAACTCACATCTCCCTGTACGAGAAGGAAATAAAAAGCACCATCAATAATTCAGCGCTCACATGCATTTTGTATGAACAGCCCGTCGCTCATCACAGAGGTGCAGGGAGCAAAGGGGAAGAGTGGATTCCTCTGGGCACCTGTGCCTTCTGATCTAATAAACACTGTTAGATCGAAACAGTGACGTCCATTTGTGGTAATTACAGTGAGAGGCCCAGGTCCAGCCTTGTGTACCCACCTTCACGCTTCATGCCTCATGCTATCATCTAATCCTCATTTCAGCTGTCTGCAGTTCAAAGTCATGTCTGCTGACCTTTGTACCTTGTACTCATCTCATTTTCAGCTCACTCCTCTCCATCTTCACTTCCATTTTCTCCAGTCTCCTCCTTTACCTCCTCTTCCTTCATGCATCTGTGTCAATCTTCACAGGTAGGTTCCATTGGCTGCTATTGTGTCACACAGCAGCCTTGTTTCCACTTTTCTTTATTTTCATATGCAGAACATTACATTGTCATATGATTCAGAGTTGGAGCAGTTTGTTGCATGATGTTGCACATTAGTGAGGTGAAAACAAGATGATGCTAAATATGATTCTAAATTTACTTTATCACTAGGGGTGTAATAAAATATCAATACACTTGAGTATCACGATACTATGTATTTCAATACTGTATTGATTCTCAAAATCACAATATATCGCCTCGTTATAAGTATCGCACTATATTGAATCGCAGTGGTGCGCCGTGCATTTGGTACCTGGGCCTTCAGTGGGGACTTACCTGACTAAATTCACCACTATTACGTCACAATTATAGAAACCATCAATACTATACAAAAACGCAATATAACAAAGCATGGCATTACAGAGAGAGAGGCATTTTGCGTATTGAGGGTGAATACCATTTTTACTAAAGCAAGAAACCCAGTTAAGACAACTCCAAACCTATACACTACAACCGCAACTGTGCCACGTACATCATCTGGAGCAGTTCAGAATCAATATTTATTTAATAACATGACAAAAACATAAAACATTAAATCAAATACATCACACTCACCGGATATGCTGTTTATTTATAGACAAAATCCACCCTCCTTTCTTTGCACAGGAAGACTTCAATGACTGTCACAGAGGTGATCTCTGCGTTTCAGTTCTCTCAGTAAGTCCTTTTCTATAGCCATGGAGGCCAAGGCTGCGAGTCGACTCTGTCCAGTCGTATTCCTCGCATACGTTTTTTATTCTCTTGAGGGCAGAGAATGTCCGCTCGACCAAGTCAATCTCTCCTCTTCCGTCAGCCATCGTGAGCGTAAAAAGGTCTAACTCAAATGTTTTAATGTGTGCAGATCGCTACAGATGTGTTTTGCTAGTCGAACTTTACTAACAGTTTTGCTCTGACCAACCAATCAGAGGGCGAATAAATGCTGATGTCATTGTGGGCCAGCTAGCTGGCCCTGTGAGGTGAATTTGAAATCTGATTGGTTAAAGAAACAGTCCCATTGCTAATACAGTTTAAGTTATATCGGCCAGCACTACTGATTCTGAAGGCCCTGGGCAGATTAGATTGACATGGCAGCATATAGAGGCTGAAATCTGATTGGACAAAAAATCTAACATCCACATACGCGTACTGGAAGTGTGGCAGCCAAGAGAAACGCTACGAAATGAAGAGAACAGACTGTTGGGAATAAATTAATACAATTTCATGGAACAAATATTAGAATTTCGGTTGTAAATGTAGGTCAGTGTTTCTGATAGTGTTTAGACCAGCAGAGAAGGCCTTGCTGGCCCTGATGGCCCGCCACTATTGAATTGTAACCCTTGTGTCGTGATACATATCGTATGACCACATCCAGGCCAATACACAGCCCTGTTTATCACCATACCTGTTGTGTACTGTATAATAGGTGTGCCAAGCTATTAGCAGATTAAATGATAATGCATAATAAATCAGTTTAGCTAATGGCTTCATTACCATGGCGTTAGGTTCAAACTCGCAGTGACGTTGGTGCGACGTCTCAGATTCTCTCTGCTGTTTCACTGAGTGAAGACTCTGTGAAGAGTTCTGTTAGGAGCTTTATGATGCTAAGGTGCATGAAGCTGGCAGTCTCTCTAAATAAGCTGTTTATTCCCCAAAGCACAATTCACAATGATTTCCTGAACTGGCAGGAGTGCTTTGCACGTTAACATTTCTAGAAAATTC